TTAAAATAGTATTCGACCCAAAACTGCATGGCTGTTTTTTAACTTTCTTGCCATATACTTGGGACATAGGCGTAGGGGACACCCCCCAGTCAGGCAAAATTTATAAAATTTCAGGACCATTTGGGCAATTCAATGAAGCAATGAAGCAACAATTTCGTACAAGACCCATACTAAGCCCCCCTAAACATTTGGCCCCCGTTTCTTCCATGCTTGGGGAAATATCTTGGTTTAAATACTTAGACCATGAGTGTATCATTCTACCAGTGAGTTTGAATAGGAAAATTCAGGGGTGTAGTACAAAGGGGCTCGGGGGTTTATCTCAAAAGAATTTTTTGAGAACCATGACAAAAATAGTTTATCCATGCGTTTTTTCTTTATCTTTAATTAGATTGTTTTATGCGCAAAAACCTATATTTTGGAGAGATTTATAATTTGACCGTTGCAAATATTTTTCGCTGAACCTTATAGTTTGCTGAACTTAAGGTGTCTATCATTTCTTGCTTTTGTATGTAGGAATACTTTGTGAAATGGGTAAGCACAGCTGTAGTCAATTGCCTGATGATCGCAATACGCGTGAAAATCGATGTAGCAACTTAGAACCGTCCTTTGATATATAACAAAAGCCTGAAGCTATTTTATTGGTTTGATTTTACAGACCTCGTTATTGCTATGAATTGCTTTTTTACCATTTCTTTTTCTACCAAGTTATCCCTGGTTATCCTTTCTACCTCGCTCGCTCATTCATCTACAAAACGTATTTTTCAAAGGCTAAAAGGATTAAAATGTGTGTCTTTATCAGTATATTTATTTTCAACGTTCTTGTGTCCAACCATTAAACTTAGACTGAGCTATAATTTTTAAATCTGTTTGACTTCACGATAGTATTACTAAGATTTTCAGAATTTCCTATTCCCATTCCATGTTGGTTATTGCGAGACTTGCTATTGAGAACTTAAAACACATTTTTTGTCTCCTTTAATCTCGCATTAAAATTTTGAATCGCCAGTTGCTTGAGTTTGGCCGGCAAATCTTCCACGTCTCCCACTGATTATACTTCTGGCCCAGCCTGTATTTCCAATGGTGCAATTTTTATCGTGTGAAATTTGACGAAGCTAATTTTGTTCTATGCATCTTGTGATATCGGCCGGCTGCTAACCGCCTAAGTGTATTTTACGAGGTACAGTAAATTCCCTTGCTTTGCTTATAATTAGTGGGTATTTGTTTCTGCTCAAATCAGCAGGATGCCTCTTTCCAATTGCGATATTTATTGCTGAGAAACAAGCACCTCTTCAGTGCACTCGTTGGATGATGTCATGACTTCGTTTTCTTTTCATTTTTGATTTATTTCAATCTTAACAAATGCCCTGGGTCATTGAGATCATCTATTTTGCTGGATGTTTCTGTCAGCACAGCAAACTGCCCCTTTTTAAGCAGATACTCACTTATGATTTTGTATTCAACCGAGGGACAGTGTTCTAAGTACAGCGGAACCCTGATTTGAAAAAAACCCCATATTACCAAATTACTATAACGAACCAACCTTTAGTACCCTTGATTTTGCTAAGCAAATTTCCCCGATGTAATGTATTTACCCCTTGAATGAAAGAACCCCACTTATAACAAGGACGCCAGAGCACATTTTGGAGTTAGGGGGAGGGGGGGGGGGTGATCTACACGAGTTGGAATAGTCCCACGGTAGTTGGTCGCAACGATCTTTGATACCATAACCTTGATGTCATAGCAAAATAGTGTGGGAGGGGGCTACAGCAGCCCTACGGTTTCTTTTAAAGATCTTTTTTCATGATTCTACCCCTCTGTAAAACTTGAATCACTGATGATTTGGAGCAGTAGGGCGCTTCCCCCCCTCCCTAGAAGTTATTCAAATGGTACAAGTATTTTACTCATGAAATGCGCCTATTGGAGCATGTGTATAAAGAAAAAATATATGAAAACAAATATAGCCGTATAACCAGTCTGTCATAAAGTGCTCGATGCTATGAAAGCAAAGCTGTGCACGCTAATGTGAAACTCAGAAGTTCTCGCTTAATGCAATCACCAGGCATTGGGTGCGAATCTCATGTTCGATATACGTGCTCTTTAAATAGGTTTTTTATCCCCATTTTTGTTTTTGAATTCTAATTGATCCCAATGTAGCATAGGTGTGTGACTCAGGGGTTTCAGACGGATAACATTTTGAAGTTTAAGTAGATACCCTTCTCGTAACCAATGTGACATTTGTTGACTATGGTTAAACGAGCTAATAAATCTCGCCTATTCGCCTTGCAGCAACAAAATTAGAGGAAATAGGAGAAATGGTCACTGAAAAATTGCCTCATCGCTTACCCAATCAACCTCTTTCGGTATAGATTATACGGGTGAGACTAATACTAGTGGATAAAAATTCTTTGCCTTCAGGGCTCTGCAAGTCTTGACATCTGCAAAATCAAATTGTATTGATCAGTTGAACTATTCAAGTCGTTATTCTGAGATGACATTTTGCTTTTGAAAACACAGAAGCATCACTGGGTCAACTCTATAAATCTTGCCAAGCGCTGCATGTTTCCCAACCGTTGTTAGTTTGGATTTATTGGGTGGTAAGCCTGCCTCCATATTGCCAGGGGGAGAAAATCTTAAGAATTGCAAAGTTATTCGATTTTTATTACGAAGTTACTGCCTAAAGTATGCTATTAGTGGTGTAGTGCTATCAAAATAACAAGGGGGTCTCATGCACAAAATCTTGCGAAAAGCAACAGCAAAAAGAGAAATTTGCCAATTTTCGGCATTTACAAGGAGGCTCAACCCTCCTGAGCCCCCTATCACTACACCCCTGTTTGCTATAAATAATAAAGTTTATTCTTACACAAATTCATACGATACAGGATTATCTTAATATATGACATCGATTTCGAGAAAGTTTGGTTTATTTACTTTATCAAATTCTTGTAGGAAATTATGAAGAGTACAAAACTTGAAGTGAAATTTTGCAAAGTTTCTACTTTGTTATCAAGCCTTAAGAAAGTTGCAAAATGCCAGTGCATGGAGCTGAAGAATTAAGATAATTTTAACCCAAACTATCGTGGATGGTTATTAAGCGGAAATTGTTTTTTAATAATATTGCCTAAAAGATACCTTGTCTTGAAAGATTTATCCTTTCTACCAGCACTTGATTTATCCTTATTCTTGATTTGGTCTTAATTTTTTTTACCAATTTAATGCTTGTTTCGTAAAGAATTGTTCTTATGAGCAAAATTATGTATTATTTAAAAGGAAGCGAGGCTGGAGGGTACGTCGCTCCTGATGGGTACTTTGAAGAAGGCCCTGTAACGTATCTAGAAAGGGGCATCCAATGAAACCTGGATCGCGTGCATCGATGAACATCTAGAATATTGGAATCCATGAAGAATTTTTGAAAGGGAACGGTCATCATAAAAAACATGGAGATCGCCATTCCAAGTTACTGAAAAAATGCCGCCACGTAATGCCGAAAATATAGAAGAGCTTCAAAAATGTCCGAAAAATATCCGAAAAGTAGATACGTCATAATAAGACAAACAGTGAATGGATGTGCGAAAAATCTTTATAATACTATAAACGAAGTAATAACACGTAAGCGCCTCCAAAGTCATTTATATGCGAGGGGTAGTAGTTGGCTTAATATCTCACCTGCATTTTCACTTGTGTGACGTCATAAGGGTGATTTTATTGAATGATTCTAGGAAAAACCGTAGTTTTGAAATTTTCGCCTTATTTCGTTCGGCCCTTCCAAAAAGGTTCTCACCATTCTTGATCTGCAATCTCTAATTAAGCAAGTGCATTTCAATTTGATGGTTAATATCGTTGCGTATGATTTTTGGTTTTTAATTTATTTTTATTTACTTGCCAGAAATGATAATTTCTTTTGTAACTGATACAAAAGATGCAAACTGGTAATATTGATGCGTAGCTGTGAAGAGGTGGGATGGCCTGTGCGTCCCAACAATATTCTTTCAATTGATGCTTATTAAGCCTGTATCCAGCAACATTTCATCAACAAATTGAAAATTGATTCAGTTAGAAAAATTGTGAAGAGTTCAGGAGACTTTTGTTTTTCATTAACTTTTAAAGTAATGTATTATTTTCAAAATGTTGCTGGTAATTTTCTTTCTGTTTGCTGATGAGGTATACCCACGAGGTAAAATATGTGTAACTTAATCTTTCAATTTCCTCTAAAGCATTACCGATACTCAACCCTTCGAAAGTTAGCTTCAACAAAAAGTTTTTTTGTAATTTGTTCTCTATCTATAAGTTTTTTATTGTTGAATTCCATTTATTATTAATATTTTTATAATTTACGTTCGTTCTCTAAATGCAAAATTCTTAATTCTCGTTTGTTTTTGTTCATTTCTAGTTATTTCACCTTCACTCTTCTTTCTTTTATGTCTTCAAGCGTGTTTCAAACCAATAGCTATTGAAATTTGTAATTTGTGCTTGGGGTTTTCAAGAATATGAATTTTAATTAAGCAATAATAACAGTAGTAAATGTAATGAGACATTTTTTTCTGATTTCTCCAACAATCACTACTTCGAACAAACACATTGCTTATCATTTGTGTTTTTTCCCTTAAAAACCCTTCTTGAAATAGCATTTAACCGGGGTACTCTGGTATATTAATGATAAGTGTTATGAGATTTAAGCCCGGATATCTTTCTTTCAGCCAGGAGAGAAATAAATCAATGAAATATTTTTTCGACCCTTGATGTTACTTAATCTATAAATATTATTCAAGTTTTCTGTATGTTATAGTGTTTGAGACTTATTATACGAAAATATTACAGCATTTCGTGAAACCAAAAATATTTTCACAAGTGGCTTACCCAAAATAGTATATTTTACCCAAATTCAAAGAAGTACTTTTAGACATCCCAGCTCTATATGTACCATGTTACCTCCCTGGGGCTGTTATGCCCATTCATATCCAGTTTTCGTTGTCTTTTTAAAAAGCTAGCTGTTTCCATTCTAGGCATATGTGCTGGAGATGGTTAGAAGGCAACGTTCAAGCCTAGGTCCTGTTATCGAATTGTTCCCTAAAGAAGTATTTGGAAATGTTATGAAGGATCTTGGTTTGACTGGCGACCAGCAACAGTTGGATTGGAGAGAAGAGTCACTTGGTTCTAAAGAGATTCTTCCACAGCAGTCAGAGGTATGTTGACGTGAAGGTTGCTCTTTGCAGGGAAGTAGCTCCAATTGTTTTTTAGGCCAAAGATATCACAATCCTTTGTTTTTGATGAAACGTCTCTTTTCCCCTATCTTTCTCATCTTCCTACCACACAGTTTTTCGTTTTTCTTATCTATAGCTTAGATTTACGTAAGATATAGTGTTAATTGCTCCTAAAAATAGGGAACGAGTGAAGTTAATCACTATTTCAAGACATACCACTCACAGATTTCTACAAAAAGTTCTATCAAGATTTCTAGATTTCAAGCTGCGTCATCAATCGTCACAGTCTTACAAGCCTTCCCCGTTGTTTTCTTTTTTAATAGTAATCATTTTTTACTGTGAGATAGAAGGCTTTTATTTTTCACATCTATTTTTGTAGGTTTAAAAATTTTATTTTAAATATTATTAATACCTTTTGAAGTTTGATGCGGTGATATACGAAATAAGTGTATGAGATGACAATTTTTATTTTACGCTTGCTCAAAATTCAAACCTATTATTTTGTATCAATGTTTGTAAATATGGTGATCCAACTTTCAGCTTATTCAATATGAAAGAGAGAGTTTGACCTATTTTTATATTTGCATATATTTTGGTAATGGCAAAGTGATTACTTTCGAAATCTCCAAGGGCTTTGATCGTGTCCTGCCAATTTTTTCCTTTCTAAGCTCCTTATGTCGTTCTGCATCCTGTTCAAGTTTAATGACTGCCTCTTCTCTGATTGAGGCATTCCCATTATATTTAATGGCTACTTCTCAAATCGTCACCCAAGTATTACTGGTGTTCCACAAGGTACTGTCATATCTCCTGTTTATTCATCTGCTACATCGATGGTCTTCTTTCTCCCACCCCTTCAAGTATCCATCTTTTGGCCGATGACATTTTCCTGATAATCCTCTATGACACAGTTCTATTGTGAACACTCCCCTTCAAAAAAAATCTCTCTTCTCAGTCTATCTCAATCAAGGTTAAACCATCTATTGGTAATCGTACATCTCATAACTTTGGGTTTCTCTCTCAAGCGTGTTGGTTCTTCTCGTCTCGACATCTTTTAGTTGTTTCATTATCATCGAGTGTCACCTTCGGTCCGAAGGTTAACAAAAAATTCCTCCACAAACTAGCATTTTTCCAGCATTTCTTTTTACTTTTTCTAGACTGGTAGATGTTGCTTATTGTTTAAATTCATTGGCCCATTTTCTTCTCTGCTTGCTTCTATCTCTTTTACAATCTATGTATCCTTCCAGCGTAAACAGTCCCTCAAAGCGTATACAGGGAGACCAGCCCATATATAAAGAGTACGAGTGTCTCTCCTGGGTGTATTGCCTGCAAAGCTCATCTTTCTTTGGGCAAGTCTATTATTTGCTAAATTTCTCTTGTTGACGATTCTCTCTTCGATGGTGATATTTGTTGTATGTTCTTACCAGCTATATGTGTATCAAGTAGTTTCATTTCAATTTCAAGTTTTATATCCCTTTTGAGCAGCTCTTTCGTGTCCCGAAATTCGCTTTAAGCTCTGGCTATTCATATTCTCATTCAATCAGTGCACCTACCATCGTTGGTTTTCCATCGTCCAAGATATTTGTATTCTTTAACCTCTTCTAGGTGTATACCACTTGCTCTTATATTGATGTTTTTTCTACCACCCTCCTCTTTTTTAGATAGAACCATATCCTTTGTCTTTTTCGCATCTAAACGCCATTCCATGATCTACAATTCCTTTGAAATTTCTTCTGTCTCAGCTATCAATACTGTACAATCTGCATATCTAATGTTTGCGATACTAACCCTATTTATTTGTATGCTTTTCTTATCTTCTAGTGACTTCTAGTGGATTAGATGTTCACTATAAGACTTGAAGAGTATAGGCGATAAGATACATCCTTGCCTTACACCTCTCTTTATCCATCCTTGCCTTACACATGTTTGCAATATAAATTAGCTATCAAAAGTATTGCAAATTGCTGTTTACAAATCTACTATTTACTTTTTTCAAGTGCGGCTCTCATATTTGCGATGGCGATCCTAAATATTTTATGACTTTTCCTGACAACATCATGTCAAAAGCTACTCGCTTCATCAGCAATTCTCTAGCGTTACAAAATCTTTCCAACACTGTCTCATCAGCATTTTGGTGCAGACAGTTCCAAAGATTGGAGATATGATTTGCTTGGTGGTGATTGTTCTGGGGTCTGAACCGAACTGGTGTGTTTGCAGACAAAGCACCTTTAAAGCTTCGCCTACTTCATTTTTACTGACTTCTGAACTAGCCCCATTTTTCTTCTTCGCTGCAGGTTAATCCAGAAGGATCAGAAACTTCTTGGTTTTTTTTCCTTTCTTGGTTACTGTTTTTCCTATTCTATTCTGTTCTCTGTTCTTTGGTTACAATATTCTTTTCTTTTACTCGCCCTGGCAACATTTCTTTAGTTAAGTATTCTCTCCTGTTTGTTTACGACCCAAAAAAGAGGTTATATAATGCTCCTTCGCAGAGATCAAGCAAAATCTCTAGTCGCCAAAACTTCAAATTCAATCAACTTTTGGTTAATAGGGTCCTATTTAAAATATTTTTATGTCCCTAGTATTTTCCTTGGCTCCATTACAATCCTCTTTTTGACTAGCTTCTTGGCTCAAATCCAATCTCGTTTGATCATGTTTCATTTTTCGCATTATTGCAGAAAACAGAAAACAGTAATCATGGATCATTTGCGAACAAAAGTATAAATTTCTTTTGTTTTCATTTCGTCATTGCTCTGTTTTCATTTCTAGCAAAGCTTTTCCCGCCTTCGTTGTCATTGACCTTCATTTGTTCTTTTGAACAAGAATACAATACAATACAATATATTTATACAGGATAACCTTTTCAGTAAGAATGATACTGCTATCAACAAGGGTCCTGTGAAAATTATAGTTTTTAAAGTAAAAGGATCAAAGGTTTAGAATTTTAAAAGAAACTAAATCTAAAGGAAACTATAAATAGAACACCTCGGCAATAAAAAACCAACTACGACGCCAAAATGCTTTCGAAATTTCCCTAAGAAATCTTACCCAAAAGGGCTCCTTCCTCAGCCAGGCCTTCTTCATTATCATCGTGCACCTTTAGATCTAAAAATTCCTTTCTACCTCATCTCTTCTTCCTTTTTTTGTAGTCAAAGTTCTTATCCATTTGTTTTTTCAATTTGATCTTTTGTCCTTTTTAATATTTTCTGGTTTCATTTCTCCAGTTCTACATTTTCTTCGCATAGCCTTGCCACCTAAGAGGCTGATCGTGTATGCTATCGTCAACACACATTATGTCACCGAACATGTTTGATTGCTTTTCATTTCCAATTAACTAGGCCAAACGGTCAGAACATGTTCATCATTTTTCTAGTTAGATTAATGGTTGAAAAATGGATCAGGTGAATGGTTGAAAATGTGGTTTTAGTGTCAATAGAGATGATAATATAAAAATTTTCCTTTCTCTATGTTTCTTTCAGACTTCTTGGAATAGAAACTTTGAGAAGGTTTCTTGAGTAAAACTTTTTGTAACGAGGAGATATGTTGAAGTCTATGTGTTCTATCTTGTGTGGGAATTAATTCACAACCAAATTCAGCGATACCATTCCTTATCAGGGCCTCCTTTAGGCCATAGCTTTTATTAGGCCATAGATCCTTTAGGCCTCCTTGAGTCAAATTCTACAATATTTCACAGTTCACAAAACTAGTTGGTTTTGACTAAACCAATAATGTGAAGCAATTCTTCTAAAATACACTATAAAATATACAAATATCGAAGCTGAGTAAACGGTCGAAAAGGGCAGATGTTCGCAGAATACATAAACGGTCTCAGCGTTTTGTTATTTTAATGACTAGCTCTGATTTAAGTTGCAAAAGCAAACGTCCCAAACGAGGATCATCCACATGTTGCAAACCTTATTTGGCTATGTTAGCAAAAGCTTTAGACGTTAGTATAGACACAGTGGTTCAGTTTCTTTGTCAATGGCTTTTTAAGTCACTGTTTGCAGACAAAAAATATCTATTAAGTTGTTTTCGGCTTGAAGGAGTATCAATGAAATGTTAGGGTATTAGTGGCTCGTGATTAAATTTGAATAAATACTAAACACCTTGAAAAGGATTTGAAAGATCATCCTTGCTGAGTTGTGAGTCCATCGACGCGGCAAAGAGTGAGAATTGACTTGTGTGATTGATAAAGGTACGACTGTTGTCTCTGCTAAGGTTTATCTCAAGCGAATTCCACAACAGTACTGCTTAGTTAAATTACGTTGATTTATCACAAAGGGGATCTGTTATGATTTTCATGTAAGGTCGTTAAGGTGCTTGATCACTACCTATTTCTCGCTGCTTGTGGAGGTTTACTTTTCTTCTCAATGTGTTATGAGTATCTTTAAATAGGAGATTTATAATATCCTCGTCAAACATTCTGTCACGAAATCTATTGCTTACCGTAAAATCTGCCTGTTTAATGACCTTTAAAAGCTAGCCGAAAATGTCCATAGCTGAATGTATTTAATAAATGAATGGTATCGATTTACTAGATAACATAATGAGATTCCAAGTCTATTGGTGAATATAGCACACGTTTTCTAACACATATGCCATTCATTCAATACTCATTTATGCTAATCTCTTTTCTGCTTTAGGTTCTTGTAAAACAAAGAATTGTATCTTTTTGCATTTCTCTTGCATTTTCTCGCAATTTTTGAATTAGGTTATATGTATAATTATCTATGTATATTTTCCATTCAAATTTCAAATAATTTAAGGAGAATTGCCGTTCAGCAAAGGCTGGTTTGCAGGAAGCCCTCCATTTAATTCAAAATGTAATTTTTAAAAATTGTAGAAATACCTCAAGACATAATAAGTATGTTTGAATTCCAAATAACTTATTAGATTGACATGAATTTCCATTCTAATTTTTTCTCAAACCAGTCTTAATGTATTTGCTGGAATAAAGTAATGAATTTTCCTCTGGCTGTTAGATGTAATCTCGCAGAGTTCATATCAACTCCCTCGTATCAGCCCCACCTTCCTAAACCGTCTCTCGTCTCCATGACAGACATTTTGAATCAAAAACAGATGAAGACGAGAAAAAAGTCGTAATATCTGTAGAAAAACCATAACTATTTCTTACTCTTGTTATCCAGCTCAGTTCTCGACACTCAAAAACCTTTTCTATTTACGGATTTCGTCAATCAGGCTTTGATACAATGAGATATCGAAAATAACAAACTCAAGCCTTCCTTTCTCTAAGCGCTTCTCATAAAAACCGAGGCCTCTTTGTTTTCTTTTGCTAGCACCGAGACTTCCTGTCTTATTTCCATTCTTCCTTACCAGCTGCAGTCATTTTTTCTTTAGTAAAAAAGAGGCGATAAATCAACACGGTGATCTGAGATTTTTTTCGAGAGGATACTTTAGTGTTACTTTTCTAAAAACCGAATCAATCCCCTAATTTTGTGAGAAACCGCTTTATGAACAATTTTCTTGTAGCATAATGAACTTCTGTCTAAAACAGTGTCCCCAAAAAATCAGAAAATGAGAAAGTCGAAAATGCATTTCGTCAGTAATCTCAACTGACTGTGCAATCAGCGAAAAAATATACAGCTTTTGGACTTTTTGCGAAGAAGTCACTGTAATAAGTGGTTTCAAGAATTTTTCCGCTCTCCAAAGTATGCTAATAACGTTGCATTTCATAAAAGTACATCCTTTATGCACCTTTTTCTCCATTGGTATCGAATCGATTTCTGAGTATGCTCGAAAGCACACATCCTCCCTTTCTACAAAAAACAGTTTATACTTTTAGGCTCCACGGTTTGTTTTGTATTGCTTTGTATTTTTTTCTTTTTTCAACCCCCTGGTCATTTTGTTTAGAAATACAAGGAAACATGATCAGTTTAAATAAGAATTTGAAAATGACTGATATAACTAACATTTCATTTTATCAGATAAATTGATTTTGTGTGGATTTTATCAAAAAAGGTGCCAGACATTTTTATCAATATTTCATTCTCTTAGATTTCTTGTGACGCTGTCATGGATTAGTTTTTCTATCTCTCTGTTCAAATTTACCAAAACCCACAAAGGAGCAATGAAACACAAACTATTTCAGACAAGGGCAATGTTTATACGAAAACAAAAGTCGTCGGTACCTTTGACTCATTCTGATATGATAATTTTTCTTGGCAACATTCTTGCTTTGATATAATCTCTATCATTAAGTAATGGCTTATCCATCTTTGCTTTTCCTTTATGTTAAATTCGCTACAAATAACAAACCAGCTTTCATCGACAAGCTCGATCTGATTACACGCCTTAGGAGCTATATTCCGTTCAGATCTTGGGTTATTTGCATCTCAGTACTGCAAACAACCATTTTGCTGATTTAATCACTAGAAAACAGAGTCATCACTGTCCATAAAGTCCCATAAAGTTATTTCGACCAAAATATTTTCTAAAAATCAGAGTTGAGACAACGTCTCGATCTTCCTCCGGATGAAACTTTGTTTCATTGGCCTTCCTCAAAATTGTCTTGGTCTCTTTAGAGTAAAAGTCTTTAAGAAATGTAATTCAAGTAGATTCATCTATAGTTTGGTCTTTACGCTTTGTCAGGGACATAGAAAGATTCATGTACAACGGTGAATTCCTCACTTTACATGCTCTTGTCATGTTAAATATTTGCCTTGCTCAAAACTATTGAATCATTGGATAACCTTCTCCGGTAAACAGCCGTAGAACCGTAATATTTTCTAGGCTCTGCTAAAAAGATATGCTTATTTAACTTTTAATTTTGCAGGCCTTTAAAATAAACGAAAATGGTACAGTTGGTTTTGAAAAGAACACTGCCTTATCAACCAGCTTGGAAAATCTCCTTGAAACTTCTGCCTTTGCAGACTTGGTGTTTGTCGTGTCTGGTGATTCATCGAACCATGTTGATTTGAATGCTGAACCTAAGAACGTAGACCAGGCTGTTGTGTTCAGAGCTCATCGTGTTGTTGTTGCTACCAGATGTAACTGGTTTCGTATAGCCCTGGGCAGCGGTATGAAAGAATCGTCTGAAAGGTACGTCACTTGAGTGTGTATAAAGTGTTATTATAAAGAATAAAAGAACAAAAAACGTTTTAGCACACTTAAGACCTACATAAGGGATTTCTTCATTGCAAAGTAATAAGTGTGTGGGTTTAGGCCAGAAATCAAACTATCAAGCATGGTCAATGTTTTCAATCATAAAATTTCAATACAACAATTTGCAAATAATTTTAATGTATCTATGAAAAGGTAGAAAATTTTCCCTCATTCCAACATGCGCCTTCTGTCATTACTCTGAAAGGAAAAATAATTGAAATTGTGTTGATTTTCATGAAATATGATGAAGTTCCATGAAAGGAAGGAATGTTAAAACTGCTATTTTTACTTTCTGTCAGCTAGTGCTCGGTACCGTATGGGCAGAGCAGTACACGCTTTGGTGTATATAAAAGGACGATTTTAAGTGCTGCACGTTGGCATATTGTGAATAAGAAGACTGGGCTTAATTTTCTCTCTTACAGAAACTTACATGTTTTAATGTCACACCAATAGCTCGTAATGCTAATTTTAAAATGCATGAAACAAGTTTGATGTTAATATGATTTCAAGCGTCAGAAAGTTTAATCGCTTTGTCAGAACTGAGCTTAGCATTTCTGAAGAAAAAAATACTTTAAGTATACCACAAAGATGGACTGCGACGCCTTGCAGCTGCAATTCATCTCTGTTTTATTTTACTTCCGTTTTGAAAGTGTTTGTTTAATGATTATCAAAAAGGTTTACAAGTTGGTGCAATTTGAATTAACATCCCAAGAATAAGTATCAAGGAAGGAGGAACGCAACAATCTAGAAAGGTATCTGTTGACGCAAGAATCTTGAGCTTACAAAGGAAGAAGTCAGAGGTCAGAAGTCATTGTTCAAAAGCAAAACCAGTCTCAATAGCAGCAGTGATGTTATCAAACTGATGCTTCAATTTTCAGGTCATTTAAGTGAAAATGTTCGATTTAATCCATGGTCAAGCAAGTCGCCAAGCTCAGGCTAAAGTACTATCAGCGGGGTCAAAGGGCAGCCTAGATCAAAGGTTAATTTAGCCCATTACTTAGACCAGTAAAAAGAACAAAGAGAAAAACAGTTGTGCCGCAAAATATAAAGAGATCGAAAGTGTCTATACTTTCTTCGGACTATTTCCTTTGGAAAGCTTTCTTGGAAAACTAAAGAAAACTGGTTCGCCTTCGACCTTTGGCCGTGTGACCATCATTTTTTATGAGCACTCTGGCTTTATTAGGTAAAAAGAAAGACTACAACTGGGAAATTTCCAGAAAGAATACATTTTATGAACCAGGCAAATACACTGCTGATCAAAGTGCCAAACCGGATAAGGAAGGTAACAGGTGCAGAGACGGACTAGCAATAGTTGCGGGCTGCCTTCTTGCGGGGATGCCCTCCTTGGGGGTCGGTTCTTTCTCGGGTGCTGCCCGGCCTGACAGAAGGCGGTGGGGGCGGTGTTGTTCTGCGTGGTTATAGCTTTCGAGGTATACGTTAAGTTTCTTCTATTGCTGGGACTCTGCGGGGCAGCGGCGTCTTTGCTGCTTTTCGGCGGGCTGGGTGGTGTTGGGGAGCGTTGGCTGGTCTCTGGGGGTGGCTTTTTGCGGGGCAGGGGCTCTCGGTTCGCTGGGGCGGGGGGCAGAGTTACCATAAACTCTATGATATTAATTCATTTTAGTTATTCATTTAAATTGCATCGATGCCTTTGCAGCTGCTATTGGTGCCCGTTTTCCAGACAACGAAACTTAACTATGTTCAGTATCAGTTTTGTTTGGTTAGGGAGATCTTCTACTTTCATTTGATTCTGCTCAACATTAGGAAGAAGAAAATGGTCACCAGACAGATAGCCGAATGACCATCAACAATAGCATTTTTTCACATGTAAATTTTGCAATGTATTTTTGTATGTCTTTTGTAGAAAATTTCAAATCGAGGGTTGTGACCCGGAGATTTTTGGGCTGTTTCTACGATATTTGTACACGGGACACATAGCGGATATAGATCAACTTTCTGTGCAGCAAGTAGCAAGCATTTTAACGCTGGCTGATCGGTATGAGGTAAATAGGTTTAAAATGATTCATATTACTGCAATTAATGAGTTTGTGATGTGAATGATTGATATGTTACCAATTGGAAAATTAAGCATCGAAATCATGAATGATTTGATACACCATTCATCAGCACATGGTCATTTCGAATGCACATGCTGCCCCGAACACGGGGACGCACCCTCTGGGGGGAAGGGGTAGGGGGAAGGGGGCATGGAGAACAGTGGTGCTAATCATCAGTATGACCCATAGAAGGAAGAACAATATAAAACTGAATAGCAAGGATGTAATCTTGCCAGTGAATTTGATAAGATCCACTGGGACTCACTGGATGGAAGGACATTGCATGCTGCTGAAACTCTTGTCCCTGCTTAGATTGTGCCATGCTCAACACGTTGTGACCTTACACATAGGTCGCCATCTTAGTTCTAGTCTATTTTAGGCCCGTAGCTTAATTTAAATTTGCTGATTGATAACTGAAACCTGACTGATTTTTTCTAAATCTGCTCGAAGCATTGAGAGATCATTCTTAATTCACCCTGCATACACGATCTTTTTCTCTTAGCATGGTTCCTAATATCAGATCAGGGTTTGATTTCACCCTAATTAAGTATTTGAACTCAAAAACAAGCATTTCAAACTAAACAACCAATTCTTTAATACGTCACTCAATTTTCTGTCAATTTTAAGCAGTGGTGAAATTTAGACTCAGTTCAAGATAAAACACTTTGATCTACGTAGTTATGTATGCTTATCTGCTGGTTTTATCAGAGCAAGTTATCAGACTGGCGCATATATCATGTTACGATGGTTAAGGAAAGAATAAAATTGACAGACAATTCAACACTAGAGCAAAGAATCAACATCGATATATATGCTCCTTACGTATTGCAACAGCAGTAGATAATATGAGCAGTATATAATGAAAATTACTTTTTAAAGGATTGTCAAATAGTGTTGGATGTTGTTTAGGCCGAGCTGTACACGCTTTGGTGTCTAGAATGCGACGGTTCTAGACAGACAAATGTTCCGGCAACATAAAGCGTTTATACAACAAATCATGAACTAACATGTAACATGTATTTGAGCTTTGACTGCGTCACATGGCCTACAAACAAGACAATCTTAAAAAATTCAAAGCATCAGTTATTTTCAGAGAACTTTCATGTTTTAATGTTTTGTTTCTGTCAAACTTAAGTATTGGCAAAAAAATTAACCCTTTTTTATATACACGAGCGTTTGATTTCATTGTTTCTTAATTTTTCAGCATCCTTAGCCTCCAATATTTCTTGGTTCTTTTCTTAATCTTTTAGTAGAATTTTATCTCAACAAATGGTGAAAAATTCTTTTACACGATCAACAATGGCAAGAATATCTGAATTTAAGCTATAATTTTTGGTTCTTTGTATTTCAAAAGATCATGCAGTTTGAAACCAAAATATTGTTCATTGTTCTCCTTCTAGCCATGTCTCGTAGGTATTTCCCTATGTTACTGCCCGAATTCAGCCTTATAACTACTTCATACATGTTTCTTGCATAGCAAAGACGTGTGAATGATTGTTTCTTTCACTCCCTACCCCCTTCCCCTTCTTCCTCCCCCCAATAGAGTTAAATTTTTGATACGACGGTTACCGCATCAGAAGAATATGCCCAGAGAAACTCTTCTGTAAAAAGCATTGACTTGGGGCGAGGAAAGGGATGTTGTGTAGCTAGCCCTGTATTTTTGTTTCTTGCCAGTTGTGCTTCCAATGTTCACAACAATATTTCCATATTGATATGGCTATTACTGTGAATTCTAATCATTTTTTGTCTATATGTTTAGTGTATTGGACTTGGAAAGCTTCTTTGAGTAATGACTGTTTCGTTTTAGGTTGAAGACCTGTTACAGTTATGCGAAAGGCGGCTAGTTGCAAGCATAAACGACGAGAATGTTTTGTTTCTGGTTGCTCTTGCTGATAGCATTTCAGCTGTCACTTTGAAGGTCAGTGTTTTCAGCACACAATACAAGCATATCAACGCGACTCGAGGGTTCTTGTAAATGAAATATGAAAACTTTTCCAGAATCTGAAATGCCCAGTCCCTGTATTAGACCCCTCTAATTACTCCCAACTCTAACATGCCAATTTTTGCCGTTTTGTGTTCGATTATTTGTGGTATAAAGGTTGGGCAATTGATTCAATATGTACAAGTTAGAATTGGTTATTGCTTTGGATTTCGCAAGAAAGAAGAAAAACCTTGAGATGTAGATAGAGCTTATTATACAAAACTTAGAGCGATAACCAAAGACGACAATGCATGTACCTTTTACCTTATAAAATATGCCTGCTAATGGGGAGACTTTTTAATTCTCGCTAGAGAAACAAAAAAAACTTTTTCAACTACCTAAATTTCTGTCGCGGGAGTAATAAAGTTGATGTATGCTAAATAATCTTAAATTTGAAATATTTTAGAGTGTGGCTCTTTCGCATATAAAGAAAGAAAAACAAAAGATACTTGGTTCTGAAGACTTTGCAAGTTTGCCTGAAGATTTAAAGAATGAATTACGACAGATCGAAACCGATCCATTGTTTGTATGAAATCAAGCTAAACCTGCCGGCAGGTATGTATATTTTTAACATAATAATTCGTTTTTGTAGAACTTACAAAAACCTTATCCCACTTGTCTTGAAATATCTTATGTCAAAATAAGTTCAGGTCTCGATTTGTAACTGATATTTTCTGTGCATTTTCTACCTGTAGGCAGAGTTTTGACTAATTTTTCTAAGTCGAGGGCTCACATCTAAAAGTAGGCGTCTATAAGTTGTGTAGTCTTACTAAAGTAGGGGTTAAAATAGGCGGCAGGTGAGTAAGCGGCTTCCAGCTTCTAATGAAATCCCTGTTGTAGGTGGGTGTTTTAAACTTGAATTTTGGCTTTCTTGAATGAACAGTCAGATCCCAGTCCATGATATATGATATTCCATCTTTTCAGTTGAATTTGCAAATTAAGATAATGCCTATAATTTATTTAAAAAAATGACCAATCCAAAAAATGCCAATGTTTCAGGATGATTCGACAAATGCCAAGTTTTCTTGCTGCAATCGATTCAATCTTTGCATCATGCTAAATGGAACTGCAATTGCAACCAGAAAGTGGATGCCAAAAAGCTTGAATTTTTATGATAAAATAAAACAAAAGAATACCAATGCACGTCTTTTTTATTGCATTTATGCTTTTATTCTGTAACATTGATTAAGAATATATATATTATAACGAAAAACATTTTCAAATAATAGTTACCCTTGAAGCTCCAGTTATTAAACCGTTTGTAGTCTTACCACCAATCCCAAATTAACAAACATTAGAAAGCATTACAATATAGTGTACAATAATACAATTTGTGTATCTGTGCTTAAATATCTGCAGTATTTTACCCTTTGTTGTTACTCAAAACGTCTGCACTAATCTAACCCATTCAAACTAACTGCATTGATTCAAGGAGCCATAAAAAGCATTTTCAAACAACTTTTATATTCTACAATCTTGGATAAACCTTTTGAGAGAAATCCCTAAACAGAGGTGTCAACGTTAAACTTTTTTTGTCAAATTGCAATACCCTCTGTCCAGGATTGTAGATATTTACTAGCAACTTTGATGGTTTTTTGCCCCTTAATTTTTTATAGATTTTGACATATCTATGGCTAAAAATAATAAACTGACGAGGCAATATAAACAAATCAGAACTGGTTATGTGCTCCAAAATAATTAGTTTTTGAACACGGTTGGTTAAATGGGTACTTTGGGCATATTTGTGTGCGCACAAAGTTTTCCCCGAAATGACTTAAAAATCCCTTTCTGGGGTATTATTTGTAGTGAGCCCTAACAGCTTGCACAATTATGAGAAAGCATGCGGGTCATTTGGACAATCTTTTGGACGGTATTTCAATTTTTCTTAACATAATAACATTTATACAAAGAATCTTTCGTAAAATTATCAACAGTTTACTCGCAAAATAACATCACATGCCCCGAGTACTTTTTAACCATGTTTGGAGAGGAATTACGTCCCATACAAAACTTTGACTAGCAAAAAAATTACAGAACAATTTTCCGAAAGTCTGTGGAATTAAATGCAACGTTGATAATAAAGTTGGAGTTTTCTTTATTCTAACAAAGGTTTACAACCTTGGCTAGTTTGGACATATTTGTCCTTAGCATGGAGCTACGTCACTTAAGGTACAAAATTTTGAACTACAGGGTTACAAATGGTCATTTCAATTGCATTAAGCGATATAAAAATAAGTATAATTATACCAGATGAAAATAGTTATATTATACGAACTATTTCCATAATTTTGGATTGCAGGACAATCTCCCGTGCGCCATGAAAGAGGTGATGCTAAGCGTTCAGAGTTCTTTCGTGAAATGAGTCTTATATGCCAGCCAGCGTGTTATCCAGTACCATTTCTAGAAACTATAAAAGAAGACTCACTTTGTCAGTATATTAGCACATAGTCATAATCAAAGGTCGCTGTGAATATGATTTTTGGCTTTACTGCCTACGTATGGTTCTAGAATAATCAAAGAAAATGCCCTGCAGACATGCCAGGATGACTGTCAATTTGTTTCAGGGATCGAAAAGTCCTGGCCACTTTGACTGCTTATCAGAGACACAGTTATCAACGGAAGAACTTTTAGCTTACTTGAAAGTGATGTTCAGCTCAGACTGAAATGTCACCGAAAAACTCGAAGAAATGGTTTGAACCAATTCAAGTTTGGAACAAACATAGGCTCTTTTTTTGCTTAATTGTTAGATCAAGCATATTTCATCGATTCGAAATATTTTAGTTCAAATGATACATGCACAAATTTCTAAACAGCATCGTGCTAGCTTCCACGAAGAAGTTTGAGCCTATGTACGGCATAAAGAGTTCGAGGAAATAATAACTTAGTGTTAAGGTATTTAGCACTGTGACTCAAATCTGGCAAGTAGTCCCGCCGTTCACATGTTGGCCAAGACTTACCCAGTCCAAACGCTTTGGGTGCTAAAGCCTTTGGAAATGTAACACACCAACACGTGACACCCAATACCAAAATTATCTAGTATAGTGAATAATGGTTGTTTACCATACTGGGGCAGTCTAGCATGATACAAGCACGAATGTGGAGGCGCAGCTCTGTTTAACGCGCATGTAATTCTGATCGTTGTTAATCAGAGTGGTACAAAAATGAAAGGACTGGAAGATTTAGAGCAAAAGAGGCCCTTAATTTTTCCATTTACAAAAATGACAGCGCGATTGCTACTGTGCCTATATTTCATATATCTTTATTATTATATATTCTCATATTTGATTTGTTTAAGGAGGGTTGCTCTTCAACGGAAGTTGTTTTTCAAGGGGCCCTCCAACTATTGGGTCACACTTCAATGAGGTATAGGAAAGGTTGTTGTAGGTATCTTGTACACTGCAAAAACGATGTAGTAAAATGCGTGATTAAAGGGTAATACCAAGTTTCATACCTGTTCATAGTTGATGTGGATAACGCCCCGCTGCTGGGTGTCGTACTTTTTAAACGCGTCGGTCATTGACTTAAGCATGACGCAGCATTGAATAAAGTCGTCGAATTTCATCGAGTTGACGCTATTGCGATCAAACACTCGTACGCAAAGTCTGGAGAAGTCCATCGACCTGCGGGATGATTCAAAAACGGAGTTAATACCTTTGACAGAACCAAGAAACATGGGCACTAGAAAAGCAATAACATGAGTGAACCACGGAAAACCGACAGGCACGGCGCACCAGTCTAAATGTAGGTGGGCTGAAAAGGGCGTGATCAAATTTTTTTGAGGCCACGCCTCTTACAACGCCGGAAAACGCCCCTTTTAGAAAGTACTTGCTTCTTTCCATTTGTTATTTATAAATATTTTGATCAAGAGAAGATATCAGTTAGTATAAAAATAGATTTCGCAAAATGAGACACCAGGAAAAGGAACAAAAAGGGTTCCCAGTCAAGAAGAACTGATACTTTCCAAAGTAGCATAAGGTAAACTTTTCACAAATTCTCTAACCTATTATTGCAAAAAGTGCGTGGTGGGGGGGGGGGCTATAGCCATTTCCAGCCCAACGGCTGCGCAGTGCCTGGAAAACGGATGGTTTGTTCTTTAAGAAGATGGATAAATTTGAACTGAAGAGATTTGAAAAAACAATTTGGAATTAGGAAACTTGAATGTAACATGCTCATTCCAAAGTGCAATACATTTTTTCAACACGAACCAGAAAATCGGGGTTAAGAGATAGCCGTTCCTAATTTCCCTCATCTTTTGTTTAGCCAAAAGGTTAGTGAAAAGTTTGGCGAAAAGTTTATTCGTTTTGCCACCCTGCTTAGTGTTGTTTAGTCGTGTTGAGTGTTGTTGAGCAAAGTTTGATACTGGTCAAAAATGTTTAGCGTTGTTTAGTGTTGTTTAGCAAATGTTTAGTCGTTTTGCTTCCAATTAAACATTTGTTGTGATCGCGCAAGCGCACTAGTTGTGGAAATCCAAAGGTTTTCGTCTGTTTACGTTGGTTTTCCTGTCTCTACGTGACCCAAAAAGCCTTTATGAGACATCTGCATATCTCGTTGTACGCTACTGTGTCTTCTTCAACAGTCAACTTTGTTGTCATTGTGCTAAAAAGTCTTTTCTTTCCGCGTCGCTTCTTCCAATTCTTATTTTTATCCACTGCTTGTGCATGTAACAAAATAAACCAAAAGCAAACTCCTACGCAAGATCCCCTACAACCCAACAGTGTCATAGACAGCTCGCAGTTAAAAAAAGTTGAGTGAAGTTTAGTGAAAAGTTTAGTCACGTTTTACCACCCTCGCTAAACTTCGCTCAACTTCACTAAACAAAAGTTGGGTGAAATGTTTAGTTAAATGTTTAGTCGTTTTGCCAGGGCTTAAGGATCGTATCGATCATAAAGAGCATAATTTTTAAGTCCGTGTCGCTTATGTTTCTTATAATCCAAATGAAAACGCCATCATAAAAATGTCTTAAGGATCGTAAGAGAAAAATCGTTTGTTTTCATAATGTCATAAGCGTCATCAAATCTTAAAATTGTGTTTCTTATGATCTTACGGTTCTTATGACTCTAGTGAAAACCAGGCCTCTATGTTCAAATGTGAAGAAGACATCACTGTGCACTTACAGTCTGTACCCGAACGTTGTGAATGCTTGGTGAAGTTCGCCGCAGTCTATTGTTCCTGATCGATCACGATCAAACCTAGAAGAGAAAACAGCGTAGGATTATTAAGAGTTGACTTTTCTAGGGATGGGGGGGGGGGGGGGGGTTGTCATTTTAGATATTCGCAATGATAACGACACAAGAAATGCTGATTTCATTAGCTGGTTAAAAATTTTATTTGCAGTTATTACTTTTCATTTTCCTTAGCAGCAAGACAATATGATAATGCTGTTATTACAAAAAACTGCAGTTTTGAACCAATGCATGAAGTTTTCTTCAAATTCTCAGAATACCAAGCACTATAAGTTTCTCAAACACATCTTTAAGGTCTTTCATAACCGTTGCCTTACATTATCGTCGTAACAGATGATGTGGCTTTTCAAGATGTTGTATGGCTACTGCGAATTGCCTAATTGCTTCTTGCTTTCAACGCAGAGCAAGGATCACGGCGCAGTTTCTACAATGCTTAAAAATACTGGCCTTGCTACTTGTCCCACTTTTTACAAAAAATATTGTAAACAATCTTTTGGTGGTACAAAACTTAAAAATGGCTTTGAAAAAAGAAAAACCTTTAAATACACTAATACTTGTCGCCTGACACTCTGCAGGGTATAAAACGTCGGAAAAAAGACGGAAAACTCTAAGCTAGGAAATGTATATGCCCAGTTGTGGATCGAAATAGGCCAATCAGAAACGCGAACACATGACTGTTGAGGTTGCCCAGTCAGTGCCGCTTGCCTATTGAAGGTGTTACCAACGGAGTCCTGAGGTGAAAACGAACTCCTTCAGTCTACACAATAGCGGTTTTTTGTGCTTATGTAGATCGATTCCAGAACTGCTAGATTGAGAGGCGACATGTCGTCATTATAGACTTTGGCACAATCTGGGTTATCTAAAAGATTTTGTCCAATGGCCGAATAATTTGTTTTAATGGAGTTTCTAGACCTACAAGATCGAGGAGGCTGTTCTCTTTGATGGGCAGTTTTCTTTCTTATATTCGAAGGACATGTTGTCTAATCCCCCAATCTTTTTTTTTTTTTGATTGTGATGATTGGTTTATACAATAAATGTAATGAAATATATATGAATCCAGCACTGTTTATATACCGATAGGCTGCCGGTTTACAAAATTAAATGAACATACAATTAAGTAACAAACATCATGTTTTTAATTAATGATGCTAGATAAATTGGTTCTAGTGTCAATGTCATCCCCCAATCTTTGGATTTTTGCGTCCTACGTAGCCAGAATCAAACTGGCACGTAAAATCATAGATGATTAACCTCCGTAAATTAATAGCCTGTATAAGTCGCATATGGCTGCTTAACAAATAAAACCGTTAGTTGTAAAATAAATGATCCGAAAACTTTTTGTTGGAAATTCATGAAAAATGTTCCGAAAGGTTTTTTTAATACATGCCAAATGCTGCCTCAAATTATCTTCATGGATTTGAAGGTTATTGCCAAATTGACCACTAAAATATGTTTACAGGTTTATGCCAGATTTTAATGACCAAGGGGTCACCCATAAGTCGCTTCCTCTGTCCCTCATGCCAAAGTCTTTCTTAATCATGATAACTGCGACATATTTCTTATTACCAGCAATCGAAGGGTGTAACACGCTTTCCAAACAGCGTAGGAAATTTTTTCAAACAATAGGATCTTTAGGGATTTTTCGATGATTTTTCCTTAAAACAAAAGGATTTTTGCCAAATGCGTACGAGGCAAACGACGCACAAGGCTGTAGAAGGCTGTGATTACTCACCGATCAAAACAGCCTTTCCATTCTTGGATGTACTTCCAAAGAGCAGCAAATTCATACACATCTATTGTCCCAGACCTAGGATTTTAATTATAAAAGCACATGATCAACAAATGAGTCATAATAAACTAAATTGATTAACAAACAGTATGGCCTGAATCCAAGCACTTAAAACAGCAGCGCCTTTGTTATTCAATGACGGCAAATATCCAAAACAAAATTAAGTATCAAAACGACACATTTCAGCAACTCTGCGTGAGGCAAAATACTTCATTTAGCTCAAAATTTATTAATCAGCAATTTGTCAATTAATTTTCAGTAAATAGTTAGTGCCAGAAGTGAAAATGTTCTTGGCAAAAATCCTAACAAGTGAAGTTGTTAGAAGCAATTATCCTACTAAAAAGTAGTTTTCTTCGACAACATGGTTATCAATCGATATCTAACTATATTGTACAATGTCCCGGCACAATGTCCCGGCACAATGTCCCGGCACAATGTTCCGGCACAATGTCCCGGCACAATGTCCCGGCACAATGTCCCGGCACAATGTCCCGGCACAATGTCCCGGCACAATGTCCCGGCACAATGTCCCGACCGCATATCGCTGGCCATTCAAATTTCCCATTGGTTGGACTACACAATAGACCTATTGTTATGTATCGAATCGACCTTCTGTTAACTCTGAACGGTTGATTGACGGCGCATGGTGCCCTAAAAACAAAGCCTCCTATTCGTTCTCAAATAGCTGTAGTGGGTAAACATGTTTATGTAAAAAAAAACTGAAGTGAAACATGTGCTGAACTGATTTACTTTATTCGAATTATATATAAAGGTCATATCAGCGCATTTTTTACCATACTCAGTAGTGGGGGAATTGCCCCACCAGGGCCCTCTTACTTTCCCCACTAATGACGACAAAAATGCTCCTCTTACCCCAAATGCCTAGGTCATTGTGGGGCCTTTTCAAAAGATTGAACACAACGCAAACGTGCTGGTAATTATATCAACGAGGTGTTTTGTTGAAATGGAATGGGCACCTCCAGGCTTGGGCGCACTTACACATGAAACATGACAAAATAGTGACACACGTAATTCCTATTGTGTTTTAACAATTCATTTGTCAACTTTGTCAAATCCCTGAAAGGTTCCTTCTTCCTGCCTCATAGACGTAGAGACCAGGGGGTCAAAGGGGGCACATGCCCCCAACTTTTCACAACCTAAGGTAAAATGCCCCTTAGTAGCTTACCAAGTTGCCCTTTTTTGCCAACTGCATAAACAAAAATTGCCCTTTAAATACTTAGGTGCTACACGAAATGAGCAAAGAGAGTGAAGGTGACTTTTTGGGACCATGATCTAAAATGTTTCTATGCGGTCTGACTTTAGAAACACCAAAACTGCAAACTCACAACTAGGGCCACCGAAAGGTGGAAGAAGTTGCAAGTTGCATTAAGGTCTTGAGGATAAGGAGGCCCCTCGAGGTTTCCAGTTTAAGAAGACAATTAGTAAGAGATAACAAAATTATGCCTAAGATTTGTACAACGTTTCAAACAATTGCCAGAAAATGTTTCCAAAAATATTCTGAAAACTATTTTTAGCTAAACTAAAGGGCATGGTCGCCAAAAGTCTTCTGCTCGCCTCGCTCGCAAATTGCCTTATTTATTCATTTTGCCACAGGGACTCGAAAATCTCTCGGCGACATTGTTCACAATTAAACCGAGAATGACATCATTAGGTAGCCATGCTTCCAGAAACAGCCATTTTTAACCTTTCTGGGATTTTTGTTAGAAATTTCTCATAGACATCCAGATTCTGTTGTGTTTTGAGATTCTACCGACTTGTTCACTACGAAACATACAACTAACTCAACTCTACGTGACGCGTGATAAAAAGTTCTACCTCAGCGATCATTAGAACTTTCTAGAAGCTTCTAATTAGCTGACAATAGAGCAGCACGCAATTTACTCTAACTTCGCGTCCTAGACTAGCTACTAATAACGAAGGTTATTAGCTTACTTACAAAATCAGCAATTACGTAACTGTTGAGTGCACGTTCCCAACAGATCCTTTACTGAAAACTTTTTAATAGAAGCCTAGGACTCAATTATAAAATGACACGGTATCGAAAAAGCGTGATCATTAATTATGTAATGAACATTTTCCTAAATTGTGATATAATGCAAATACCAAGATTACAATTCCTCATTCAAAGCTAAATTGTTAACTTTTCTCAGCTAATTTCCTCGGTAATAGCAAATCTTAACCAAATAGATGCCTACAGGAAACATGTGTGAAACATCCTATGTAGTTGTCGCAACAACACCTGGATTCTTTTAGAAAAAACAGAAGCATATTATAATTTGAAGCACTGTACCATGTTGTGAGCGTGGCCCCTTTTGAACAATGCTCCAGTACTTAAAAATCCTTAAAAAATGCTCTGCGGTCATATTGCTGATGTATGTTACCATGATCAGGTCGCAGGGGCGTCATCAAGGGGGTACGGGGGTGCGGTAACCCCCAACAATCTGTCCGTCGGCACATTAAGGATTTTTGCCGGGCGAAAGAAACAATTTTTGTACTCTTCCTGTAACTTTTTTACAACAATTTTAAGGTATTAAAATTTATGTCGTAGCTGAATTATGGCACTAAAGTATGAGCTCTGAAACAAAAACGTAGCATAGCAGCATATAAGAGTATTTATATTTCGACTACACCCTTAGAAAGAGAGACAGACCCTTTTTTGTCGCCAAAAATCACTTCTTTAACCCTCCAAAAAAAATTTCTTGCCTTCACTCCTGTCAGGTCGACCCGTGTTGCATCAACATTACATTTTTCGCAAAAAAATGCGTTTAGTAAGGTCACCTTCGTTTTTAATCCCTCCGTTAAAGATCTTAGACACAAAATAGAGAGATTCTTTGCCTTAAACGAGCGAGCGTAAACCCCATTTATGGCCCCTTATGAGCCCCCTTTCTAATAAGTCCCTAAGACTCACAAGAGTAAGAACCGGTGTCTTTCTAACCGGTCTTCTCCAATTGCAGCAAAACGAGTATAGATAGATAACGTTTTTATGAAATCAATCGCGATAAAGATGCAAAAATACCCGCACAAAGATGTTTCTCATTACGAGCTTCTTGCTCTCAAGAACTAAAAGTATGGTGCCTTGAAATAGTCTCTGTATAGCAAACTCTCTATAGAAATTTTTTTGGTCCCTACAAAGTTTGTAATCAGTGGCAGCTTTTTAAAAAAATTAATGGGGATCCATTAAAGCAGATTTTACCATAAATCCGCGATTTAACCCAGGGAGCTTGTAATATAGCTTCAAAAAGGCAAAATATTTTAAAACCGTTTAAACTTTTTAGTGTATGGAACAGGACAGTTCTAAGTTGCTACTCTGAGTTTCATGCTTAATGCAATCATCAGGCACAGTTCTGCATCGAAGTTGAACAATTGCCTGATGATTGCATTAAGCGTGAAAAACTTGGAGTAGCAACTTAGAGCGGTCCTGTTTTATACACCAAATAGCGTGTACAGCTCTGCCTATTAGGTATCAAGCATTTTATGACAGACCGGTAAACAGTAATTTTCATTAAAAATCTTCATATTCAATCAAATTAGTCAGCAAGAGTTTCTTGAATTTTTCATCATCTTGATGGTCTAAATGCTCCAAATAATTTAGCATATTATTATCATCATTTAATAAGAGTTCTGATAATCACTTTTCCGAGTTTTTTAACTTTCTCTATGTTTGAAAAATCAGGGTAACAGCACTGTATTTAGAACCGTTATAAGTTTAAAAGGAAAAATCATGCATTACTTTAGAAATTGAAGTTTGGTAAGGTAGACAGTTTGAAGAATTCACAATTACCTATCTTTGTCAAACATTCCAATCATAAGCCTGCATGTTTCTCCATTAAAATGACTCCAGTTGTTGTTCAGTAGAGCTTGCTGAAGTTCATCAGCTGAGATTGTGCCTGATCCATCCCTGTCTACTGACTAGAAGAGAAAATCATATTGTATTAATTATTTAATGATTTGACTAATATTAAAACAAATAAATTAAAAATAAATTTAATATAAATATAACTATCATTGAAATAGCATGTTTTATGAATATTCTTTTGAAAATGGCTTTGAAAAAAACAAACATTTTACGACATACTAAAAGCTTTTTCGTCTGACACTCCTCAGAGCATAAAACGTCAGAATAAGGTTCCGAAAGAACACGATGGAAAATATATACCCAGTTGTGGATCGAAATAGGCCAATCAGAAAAACGCAAGCACAAGACCTGTATAGTTGACCGGTATTTTTAACTTATCTATCTCATTAGCAACATCTTACTAGGGCTGAAGAGGCAAAGGCTGCAGCCACAAAAATTGCACTGGGTATAAGTAATGGGCATCAACTGAATGTACAGCAGCTTCACCAATCAAAAAATATAAATTTTGTTCTGACAACACTGCATACTGAACCAATTCTTATTTTACTTTTATTTTATATCTCACATTGCTAGTATAAAATTTTTGAAAGAATTTTTACAGTATGATCATACATATTTCTCAAAGCTGCCCTGATTTAATATTAGTTGTCAGTTGGTATAGTTGTCTCCCCTGGGAATAGCATTCCACTAGTAAGTTTTGAAGTCTTTATGAGAGTTGCCTGGGAGGAGGTTGCCATGCCACCAAAGTGTCAATCATCTGTCAAGATGTATTGTGGGTATTTAGAATGAAGTAAAACTGTGCATAATATGGAATTTCTTTTAAGCAGAAGTTTACTAACCTGAAACCAACCCCAGAGAACTGCATCAACTCCTGGAGGTGGAGGTTTTGGTGCATTTTGTTGATAGCCATAACCCTGAGGATAGTTTTGTTGAGGTAGGTAGCCACCACCTTGTGATGGGTAACCGCTTCTCTGAGGAGGGTAGCCACCTCCCTGAGGTTGGTAACCACCTCTTTGTTGTTGGTAACCTTGTGGTTGTTGATATGGATGCGTGCCTTGTTGTGGCTGTTGTTGTTGGTATTGGTGATACCCCGCAGGTTCTTGTCCATATCCTTGGTTGTATTGTGGAGCATTTCCCTAAAAAATAAAAGAAATGAAAGTAAATATGCATGTGACTCTGCAGGTAAATATGCATGTGACAAGTGTTTAATATATATTTGTCGACCGTGGCCTCATTTGCAATCTATTACAGCTCTGTGCAATAGAATTGAAAAGTTATAAACCATCTCTATGCTAATTTATGATACAGTAGAATACCATTATAAAGTACTTGGTTATTACCTAATTTGGATATAACGTACTGGTGTGCAAGGTCCCGGCAAAAGGTGTGCTTGGTTTTAATCAATTCTTACTTACCCTCGTTACAATGTACTTCGGACATAACATACTTAATACACTGGTCCCTTAAAGTACGTTATAACCGGATTATACTGTACAATCATTTTTGTTTACTGGTTAACTGTGATATTAATTATGATCCTTAATGGTAAGAGGAGCACCTGGTCACCCTGGCAAGTTTGGAACTGTAACAAAATATGTTCCAGTAAACTAATCTGCTTGTACAAGCACTGTGGAACTGAGACTATTTTGCTTTGTAATCCAGAAATGTTGTGACCTTCCTGCTCATTTGTCAGATTATAGTTCTGTTCAGCATAGACAGACTACTGGTTGTTCCTAATCACTTAAATATACAAAACACCAAATAAATGCAACAGATTAGAAAAAGGGCAGTGAATCATTAGCAAACTATAAAGGTACAAAGTATGTGGAAAAATTTGTTACGAATATCGTGTTGTGCTTTATAACAATAAACACCTTGAAATGGAGCTTATAGTGGAAGACCTTATAAAGACAATAAGTTTTGAAGGCCAGCTGAGTTGAACCTCACAGAACCAAAAAAACTTGCATGACTTGGATGGGTTACACCCAGTAGTGCAACCCCACAATATTTTGTTGAAGACAAGTTGGCAGCTCTTTCAATTTTTTATTTGAAAGATGAAGGTATAGATGAAAGAACCTACAGGGATCATATTCATTGGCTGTTTTTGGCCTAACGGGGACCGCGATGTGTCAGCAACTTCATGCTCCGAAAGATTCAGGAGTCAGTAAACTATAAGATAGCGTACTTGGGAAGGTAAAAAATGATATATAATTGAGAAGTATCATTTGCGACTCACATAATTTGGCCTTGTATTCCACTGTGCCATTTTCGTTTTCCACTCCCTAACGTCGAATTTCAACTGAACTCAAAACGAGTCTGTGTGACATCATTTATGAAATCGAGGACTGGATAGAACCGCGAGAAAAGAATTTTTTTAAAATGGCGAATGAAAATGCTGTTCGTGAAACATTGAATTGGTATAACCTTTCATCTATTTTTTTTAATTGAAATATCGTACAAATCAAAGGGTTAAATTTTCATGAATTTAATTTTTAGCTGGTTTACTACGAAATAATGCAATACTTGAATGCCCTGGAAAGGGAATGTTTTGAAAACACTGTTATTAATAACTAACAGTGTTTTCAAAACGTTTTTATTAATATATTGCGATTTCACATTTAATGTGATTCTGCCCACATATTTATAGTATACTTGTGTATTGCTTATATGTGATACTGAATGAATGCAGGGAAAGAATCTCCCTTCAACTGTAGAACATTTTTAATTAAATTCTGGTTTTTAGTTTTCTTCTTACCTTTTGTAGTAATAAGAGTCAATTAGTATTTAATTACGAAATTATAAAAAGTGTAGAGTTGTTTAATATTTAGAAGGATGATGAGATGATGCTTGATTTCTTTTCCCTTAAATTTGTATTTCCATTGTTTGAAATAGGTAGTATTCAAGATCCAAAGAGTCAATGAGAATCTTGAATAAGGAAAATTGATGATAAATATGTTCCAAACTATCCATCTTTGTTGCTTTATTTTTGTGTATTGCAAAATGAAGATGTATTCTGAGTTTATTATCTTCTGAAATTAAAGTTTTCCCTTGGCATTTCCATCAGTCTATTTCCTTTCATAATCAAAGGTTGACATCATTACAAGTAGGAATAGCACAACAAAAGGAAGTAGTTGAAAAATGGTGTTCCTGCTACAGATATTCTTTATCTCAACTAAAGAAAAGGTACTGATTTTATATTTTGTTGCATCCATCACTTTCTTTAATGGGGGTAAGCACAACATCTCAGCTGAATTCTCAAAAAGATTTGCCAATTTTTTTAATGCCATGCATTTTGAATGTTTTGTGTATTAATCCACAAGAATCACTCTTGATTTCAAATCATACTTGGGGTTGAGATTGCCACAGTTCTTCTCCAGCTTGCAGGGTCTCAAATAAGATCCGAATGAGCATTTTTATTAGATCAATCTTCCTTTACTTTCCAAGTTGCTGAGCACAATTTATGGCTTCACATTGCAAAATATCGAGAAAAATTTGTTTAAAAAATTCACGATCAGCCGGTAAAATTCAATCAGATTAGGTAACAGATTAGAACCAGGGGAACAACAGGAAAGTTTTACATGATTTTGTTACATATAATTATCATGTAGGAAGTTATCCAGCATTTGTTACTAAGTTACACATTTTTCAAAATCAACTTTGTTTGTTTGAAATAAATTTTTCTTAAGCCAAGAAAGATCCCATGTCTCTATTATTTAGACTTAATTTCAGCTCTAGACAAGTTAGTAAAGAAGTTGAAAAAACTGAAGATGTTCCTAAGAGTTTTGAAGGTAAAAAATGTTTCTAGTCATGTGTTGGTTTATCTTGTTTTTGCTGTGTATAACTTCCTTGTGCTAAGAACTTTCCAACCAATCAAATCTTGTAATGATTCATTTTTAAAGATTCAAAAAAAATCAACAGGTTTTTTTGTTTTCAATTAAACTGTATATTAATTTTTGTATTCATTTCTAATTTTATTTTTTTTATTGATCTTCTACATTTGATTGGATACTTTGTTTTTTAAATTTTCACCAACTCAAAGACATTTCTACATTTAAAAAGTTTCCCACAAAATCAACATTTCACTTTAGACATTTCAACCTTTCTTCCAATATTTACTTTGCCATTCTAGGAACCAAGTTAAGCAGTTCCAGAAACTTGTTAGTTTAACCACCTAACCACTTTTTCCTAGTTAATTTTAAATCTTTTCATCATTTTGCTTTTGTTTTCAAGAAGAATTTATTCATTCACACACATTTTGCTTATCATTTACATAAATTCAAGGTTTTCTGAGCTGAATGCCCCATTTATCATTGTGAATAGAGGTGCTTCAAGTAAAACTGTCACAAGGGCTTCCCCATGAAAATGGCTAGTTTGCAGCCTGTAGATTGCACCATCAGTAAAATTTACATATGAATCTCGTGCTATGAAAAATTGCAGTCTTTATGCTGCAGAAACAAAGAAATATTTTCCTTATTAAGAAACCTTTAAAAAAGTGTTGGTTTTTTCTCCAAAAAGCACCCTTGGCTGAGTATGAAATCAAACAAATAACACATTTCCAAAAATGTTTGATATTTTTTAAAAGTTTGTTTGGTAAAGCCCCTCATTAAACTGACACCATAATGTAGGAGGTTTTTATCCCCTCTCTAATAAAGATGATAAAAATAATGATAATAATATCAATAATAAAACGAATGTGTATACAATATAAACATTTTAACAGTTACAACTGTTGTTGCCACTGTGTCTCCGGTTTCTTATGCCTTAATGAAATTAATATGAATCTATTGCATTAATAAATTATTTACACCACCTAGTTTTGCATCGAGTACAAATTATATGTGCGTTTCAGTCCGACGTATGTTTAAAAGTAGTTCATTGTACACTTTGGTATACAAAAGTGACTTTCAGCATATTATTTTTTGATACTTGGTAATCTAAAAAAGTTTTTTATTTCAAACTGCCTTTTTATTCAGAAGAAGTGGACTTTAGTGAAATAGACAAGATACTTGAGAAAGCAAAATCTGTGCGAGTGGAAGCAACAGAAAGCAAGGAGAAAGCACTAAGCAACCCCAAGAAGCAAAGGAACGCCATTAAAAGACATGAACAGCTGGTGAAGGAAGGTAGGTGCTGTTACGTATTATGAAGGGTAGAAAGAAAAGCGTTGAGGTTGAGGGAAGGGAAGTGGCCATGAATTGGTGACAAAGAAGCAGGAGGAAGACTGCACTATCCAGGACGAAGTCCTTTCTCCGCCCCCCAAATAGCTAGCCAGGATTATCCATGCAATTTTTTTAACAAATTACCAACATTAGGGCTTAGTCGCTGAAAAACGACCAAAACATCAAACTAAAATGCTTTCTCAATTTTCACCAATTTGCTCTTTACACATAGAAATATAAAAATTTCATAAATGTTCACACCAGTTATAACCGAGCCCTTTCATTACCCAAAAATTCAAATTAGCACACCTTCCTTTTTCAGGGGCTTAGCGTGCAAACTGAGAATAGTGGGGGCTGAAAGATGTTTAGGCCACTCACATTCTACCGACAGAAAACGCCCTATTACGAACAAGGAACGCCAATTTGACCCGAAGAGAAAGCGCCCATGAATAACTTCTGGCTCTAGTTTCAGAATCTTTGTGTTGCATCACAAAAAGTACCTTGCCAAAATATAACCCCTCCTTCAACATTTTCTCATCGAATTTAGCGAAATTCAAATTGATCCTGCCGAGAACTAAGGGGGAACGTGCCCCCCCTTTCGTGGCACCGCTAGTTATCGATTCTGGTAGAGCGCTCGGCCAGACCCAATCTAAAAGAATGTTTGGCGGCATCTCCAAGATGTTACGCCCCTAATTTTCTATAGCTGTATCTGAATGAACAGAATAGCCATGACAATCGCACACACTTCGACACACTCACTAAGATCAGGTTCCAAATAATAATTGTAAGTGCTTGAACATACACAACAGGCTAACATCAAACAGAAAGTCGATTAGCAAACACAACGAGTAATGACTTGTAACCAATCTCTTTTTAAATCTACAATCAAGTTTACCTGCCTAAATTTCTCAGCGCAATGATAAAAATGATAAAAAACTATAATAATATGATATCAATGTTAATAATTAATTTTAATTTTAATATATAATCGCGACGTTTATGAAAGTTAAATAAGTTATTGTTTAAGAATTTAAGACTTAATTTTTACGAATAAATAATATTTTCCACAAGCCATGCTTCACATGTATGTTGCAAAAAAATTAGAAAGATGTTGTCAGCAGTTTCATTAGAATGCTTGCTTACAAGTTCTACAAAAGCCAGTTTCCAAGCAGCTCTCACTTTTAAAATAGCTCTCTGATAGTCATCAAGTCTTCAATACCCGAATGTTTTCAATGATTATAAAGTTTTTCGTTTGATTCACAGTTTATCTATATTAAAAATTTACCATTTTTGTTCTTTGCTTTGCTTTCCTGGCGCTAACACCTTTGGGCCATGATTCAATTGCTGAAGTTTGAATGATGCAACTTGTTCAATGCGCTGTTCTAATCTCGAATCAATTCCTTCAGTTCGATGTTTTTTCTCAATTCGATGTCTTTTCAGTTCTTTTAACGCCTTCGCAATATACACCCACAGGCTGAACAGAAATTATCTGCTGCGAAGGCGCGGTAACCGCATCGATTGCAGTATCTCACTAGAGTTGATAATGTGGACAACGTTGCCAATCCACAGTCATGCCGCTCTGTCTCTTTGAACGCGCTCGACTGCGATCTGTGAAATGGTGCGCCATGTCTTGTGCGAGGCACTGAGCCGTACAATACTCTCTCAACTGCTTGAGACACACTCCCCCTGGATTCCATGAGTGTTATCTGGAGCAGGTCTGTTGGATATGCAGGAAATATTTTCGATAAAACCTCGAGTTGGGTTTGAGGCAGTGCATTTATTCTGCTGCGGGATGTGATGTAGGGAACACAAGGAGAGACAGGTTGATCAGAGGCTGATGACGCTGGGCTTTCGGTCCCATGCCGTTCAACGCCTTCGACTTTTGATTCCCCCTCGTCTTCTTTCTCGGTTTCGCCTTTCCCTCTCCAGCTGTATATCGTGGTGCTCATTTTTGGGCTTGAAACAGGTGACATAGAAGCTGGGGTGCCTGTCGAACTTTCATCGTCATCTTTCCTGTAGCCAATTTGTTTGCCTTCCTTCCCTAAAAATGCATTTCAACAGATATAGTTTCTCTAACATAGGTACAATTATGATTCTTGACATAGTGGCCGTTTCTCAGCCTATTTCACATAACTTGATTCAATCAGTATATGTTATTCTGACTTCTTAGTTGCTTCACTGCCACTTTGAAGCATTGAGAAGCTACAGTCCTTGCCAAAAGCCTTGGTACACTAAGCTAAAATATCGCATAACTTCAGTAGCATCCCCCTCTCCCCCTTGAAACAATGTTGAATAACAACAGTTTCGAAGCTCGAAATTCATCCAATGTCACTGTATCAGCTAGGGTAAGTAATAGGCGTAACAACAAACATTGTTTGGGGGGAGGGGGGATATTTCTGTATCTTACGGCCGGAAACCTTTATTTCATCAAAATCTTCCAATGACTTTTGTCAAGGATTTTCCTTAAATGATAGAAAGTTTAAAGAAACTGAAAAACGTCATGAAAGGAATCCTTGCACACAACACATTGATCTTCTCGGCTCTAACAAAGACTTCAAATTGTAGCGACATTGCAAGAAATTTAATTAATGCCCTCATTAAGCTCAAATTTCTTGGCCGAATCAAGAAAATTAGTTGTCAACAGCTTTCATTAAGATGTTGACTGTGCTCTAAGTAACTCCAAATATCCCGCATAAGCTCGCAATTTGACGTCACTGTTCTACGTTAATATTGCTACATTGTTTAAGACTTCAGGTATGACTGTAAGCGTGACAGTGTAACACGAAATGTTCTACTTTGAAATATGACGGGATTGCCAATAACGATCATACCATCTAGCTTTAGGTCTTTTTGTACTTTTAACTGTTATGAAAACTTATTAGGAGCGATTTCATCAAAGATAACCATTGATTGGGTATCGACTGAATAAAAGTAATTTTTGTCTCCAGGTTATTTGTGGATGTCCTTGTCCGTAAAGTGTTGGGATCGCAGAACATAATTAGGCTAAAGTGTTTGGTGACTCAATAAGCTGCTTGCAAAATCAGGAGGGCTCATTTATTGTACAGTTTTTAGCAAATTTTGGAATTTTTTTTATCAGGGTAAACCCCATCAGCCACCGTTCCTCCCTTCAGGGGTCGTCCCTCCATGGTGTCAAAAAATTAGACTGTTTATGATTAAGCCGATGGAGTGATATCATGATACCCATCGCGATTGATCGCTTGGTGATAACTAATTAGTATATCATGATCTGTTTTTGCGTCATAAATTATATCATTTATTGACACTTCTATAAATTCTAATTTTCAATGCTTGGTTTTGATATATCTAAGTTTTCGAGACGAGGGTTCTCAGTTTTTAGTAATCGAATCTTTTAAAAATACTTTTGACATTGAATTTGTTTTAGAACATTTCCTCGACACCTTTAAAATCTCTAAAATCTATGTGAATCATAAAATCTTGTCTACACCATAGAAATCATAAAAATTTTCTACACCATTTTCTATTTTCAGTGAGCCTTCCTCCCCTTTGCGCAATCCTGTGACGTCAAACCCATTTCGAAACCTGTTGAAATTCTACGTCATAATTGCTTGTGCCCCTCTTTTCTAAACGACGAAATTTTGTCCGTATGAACGCCCTCGCATACATCTCAATCAAGCAGCAAGAAATTAAACTTTAAGTTGCCGAAAGGAATTTTAATCTGCGTTTAATTTTGAAAACGTTTTGAGGCGATTGCATTCGTACATGATGTAATAAGCATATCGCTGCCAAAATACGTGCAGCCCCGTTGTTGTGTGTGCGTGGAACACAGTCTTGATTAGAAAAGTTTTAATTATTTGTTTTGGATTTCTTCGTCATTAAAAGATTTGAGTGCTTCAAGGATTACTTAGTTTGGCTTGTACTTTTAGGACCATTTAGTTCTGAAAGAAGGACCATTTTTGGCCACTTCAAATACGGCCTTTTTGCTATTAAAATTTTGGCACTTTGATATTCGTAAATATCAGGCCTTGAACTAATCTTTCACTATGACTGCTTTGCTTGCTTATTCATAACTGTGGTATTACCCAATTTTGCATTGATTGCTTCTCTGGAAATTTCCATACCTTAAAATCGTTTTGATGTGTAGAATATTCAAAGATACTTCGCAACCTCATGAGAGTCTGGTGGAACTGTAAATTTTTTAGTTCGTAATTCAGTTGGAAAAAGAAAGAGAAAAAGAAATTAATCAAACATTTTTTAGTCTAAGTGCTATTATGAACGTATTAAGTGACGAAGTTGCTTTGCATCCGAGAGAGGACAATTTGGCAATCTGCTGGATGCCTGTAAAACTGCATGTAATACGATTAAGAATTCGCTGCAAATGTACAGTGGTTAAGTTAACGACATAATTACATGTTCGTGGTCGTGTATGCGGTGTTGAAAATGCACTTTTACACTGAATCGGGACATGTATACAATGTTATTATGAAGTTAAAGGCCACCTCAAATGATGTTTTCAAGCAAGCAGGCTTTTTTGAGTTTTTTGAAAAGACAGTTAAACATTCGGTTTTACCTTAAGCTAAAGCAAGTATGACGAGAAGCTAGGCCACGAAAGCTACTTTGATACAAAACTTTATTTCGATAATATTTTCAACTTTAGTATCGTTTTGTATATAAAGCAACGTTATTCGAAATGTAAAAACACTTTCCCTCTCACAAAATCACGTGAACGCGGCTAGTCTTTAAGCCGTACACGTGGGTTTGTTCAGTCTACTGGTAGAATTGACTCCGCTTATAGTCACAGCAAATTTTGCTTAAAAATTTGCGACTGTAAAGGGAATATGACCGTATGCAGAGCTAGATTGAGTAGTTTTGCATATTTGGGTCTAAAATTTATGTGACAGTAACCAATGATATGTCTTTAACCGGATAATTATAGATGGAGTTGACTGTACTTCGTTTGTATTAACAGAGCTAACTAAAAAGTGAATAAGAACGAACCTTGATCCAGACCAAGAATTTCTTGCACTGTGTACCCAACAGGAAACATCACTCGGCTTTTCATGGTCCCACTATGCAAGCCAGATGAACTCAATTTTGCTTCTCTTGTATCATTGCTTGAGGTATCCATTTGTGTCCTGAACTCATGTGCCTTTCTTTGCTGCCTTAGCGATGCTACCCTTGCTGCCGTGATCCTCTGCCTCTCCAGCACTGCCTGGCATTTTTCGCATGGGCAATTTTTCCACGGACAATAATGTTTGTGGCCTTTTAAGACGTTGTTCAAGCCATGATTGCGACATCTTGCGCATTTTGGTATGCGGTTGTGGTCGGCTTCTCTGCCTACCTCTACTTCCATTTTGCAACCGTTGCCTTCGCTTTGAAACGACAAATGACCAACTGAGCGTACAAGACTCATTTTTATCTACGAGTAAGAAAACTCCTTTCACCATGTAACAAAACTAGTTACTACTGTGCTGAGCTGGCTTTATTCTGCCAATGAGTCAGGGGCACAAACGTTGGCACACTGTCAGTAATCTCTATCTCATTAAAACCGGTGTATCATTAGGCTTTTTGTTTGCCATCATTTACGTATTTCCTGTGTATCTACCTAAAAATCGGAATCATTGTAGACAAAGGCACGTTAGCAAAGCAGTGTCACTGTTCTAAATTTAGTTCCCTGCAAACAAGAACTCTAAATAATGCCCCCTTGATCTCAAAAAGTCATACCTGTTTGGTTGATTAGGAGGAGCAAGAAAAAGTGATTAGCATTACAGTTAAGCAAGGCAAAGCAAGGTTCATAGCAGAGTGTTTGTTCTACACGTTCTTGGATCCCCTTCTGCTCTACATGCTGTGTGCCACACTCTTTAGTCACATGATTTTGCCCCATTACCACAATTTGCCTTGTCTTAAAGAATTTGTACCTTTTAATGCCTTTTTTAATTAATTCTTGTTTATTAAAGCATAGAAAATTTCTAATTCTGTTAGTTCTAATCTTCACGGGAATCAATTACTCTAAGTTAATGATTAGGTCATTAAATTTGAAGGACTGCAAGATGTTATATCATTGAAATGAATTTATGTTAATTTGTTATTCCAGTGTCCATCAGCTTCAAAGCAACAATATAAATTGAAATTTGCTAAAATGATACCAAGACTTGTGGGCTTAATTTTAAGAAAAATCTGAAAAGAACGTATAATTATCGTTTCTTACGCAAGGTTCTAAAATTGACATCAGGTTAAATATGGAGATTTCTATAGAATTTTCTTTTGATAAAGTCATTGAAAGAAAATTTCCTTGACTCAATCACTCGTTTGCCATAATGATATTCATGTCACGAGAACCAGGTGTGACACAAGTCCATTGGACTACGGTCCAGGTTAAAGTAACATCAAATACTGTTTGGAAAGTTGCGACTGTTACAAACTACTGTCCCCTTTTGATAAAAAGAAATTTAATACGATCTCAGATTTAATATGGTTCGAGTCACATCTAATTTTGCTTCAAGGTTTTATAGCTGTATAACTGTTATGACTGAAATTTCACTGTTATCATAGCTTTACTGAATATTGAGTAAAATGGGATGGGGAGTGTATAAAGTAACTGTCTTTAGCAGCGAGCCTTTGGAAAAATGTTCATAACTGGGATCGCTTGCAGGTGGTACAGAGGGTAGGTTCGAATTATTGAGAAGCCTAATCAAGAATCAATGTTAATTAGGTAGCTGCCGCTCCGAAAATAAGAATATGGTGTAAGATTATTATTATTAATTGTCGACAAATGTGCTGCTCCCACATTGAATCCAGTGAGCTTTGAACTCTTTTCATCCGAAGTGTGAGTTTAGGGGAATTGTGGGATGCATACCCATTGGCCTAATTTCAGATTTACAGGGAGAATGTTTATCACAGACTTCTGTAAGAGCAAAGGGAAATTCTGAAGTTTTTTGTGTGATGATTTTGCCAAAAATTATTAGATAAAGGAGACGTAAGTTGTCCTTGTTTTCCATTAAAAGAACGGGTTTAGTGCTATTTTTAGCTGACGTTTCCATGACCATCTCATTAATGTTCTGATTGCTTCTACTCATGTATATTTGTAGAATACACGATAAGATACATGATGTATTACGTTATTTAGGGATTCAAGCCATATTATTCGGTTTGCCTATTTGGCACATATTATTTAGCTAATGCTTTGCAATGTCTTTGATGATGCAATTAATGGCTCCTTTTAAACATTTTTACTGTCAAAATACTCATATTTCTTCACGTAAGAATATATAATGTCAAGTTTCTCCAAATTTTATAGCAATGAGGATCCTCTCCCTAAAGTCGAATTGAATTCAAGATTTGACTTACCTTCTTGTTTCTCTACCTACTTAGAATTGTCTTGTTTTGCCAAATTTATGCTATTCGCTTACTGCTTTTAATGGCAAGGTATACCTTGGCGTTCCCTTAACAACTTTCTTCTACCCTGCAAGGCAACTACCTACTGGCGTGCCTTTTGATGCTTATGGTACAAATTTTCCATCCACGCGCATTTTTATCCTCTCGAGGTATGCATTGTTACCACATACCAGCTTTTTAGGCATCATGTTGACCATTTAACAATGTTGAATACATGTTGTTTGTAATTTGGATTTCCATAAGTCACGAACTTAAGGAAAAGACATAAGATGCAGAATCAATTATAACTATGAATCTTGTTCTTAAACGATCGTTGTTCTTATTGTTATTCATTTTGTCATTATTACTAATAGTTTTATTTTTATGAATTGATCTTGGTATAAGAATGATCATTATTATCACTATGGACACACCCATCTTTGTTTCCCTTTAATTCATTTTTTTGTTCTTGGTAATTTTTTGTATCTTGGTGATGGTGTTGTTTTGTGTAAACTCAGGCAATCTACTTTTGTAACAGTGAACAGTGATGCTCGAATTTGCAATTCAGTCAGGTTCAAAATAGAACGTTTTCTATTTTCGACAGTACTGAAAATGCTTGCGTGTCAGTCCTTTGAATCTTTTTGTACAACCAGAATAAGAACGCAAATTTTTCTCTAAAAGCCTTCTTTCTTCATGACTTCGTGAAAACAGTGAAGCTGTGACCCTTGACTTAACTGCTTGCCTTCCAGTTATTTTCTTTCTGGTCTTTTTTGTTTTTGCCCCATCAGGTCCTTGCATACGTAATTAGTTATTTGTTTTTGTCATATGCGTTGCACGTAAACCAAGAAACTATGGTATTTGTGTAGGTAATGGCAGAAGTTGGGACGAGATAAATATTTGTAGCATTCGTTACATGCTTTGGATTAATCGCTCACTTTTTTGCAAGATGTGCAATGAAATTTTGCTAACATAAGTTTCATTAAGTGCCTTTCCATGTGACTTAAAAAGTTTTTCTTGCATACCAGATTATCTTTAAAGAATGTCTTTTATGCAAACACTGCAAAGCACATATCTAGAGACAGCATGTTACTATTTTAACCCGTAAGAGCACAATACCTTATGCTCATTGGTATGGATATTCGCAGATTGCCTTTAATCAGAAATCCACCAGGTATAGCTACATTATCACTGTACTTGTTTAAATATTTCTACCAATCAAACAAGACTTAACTCTAAGTGAAGTTTGATTAAAATTCTAAACACAGAGTTTGAAGGATTCATGGACACGGAGAGAAAAAGATATACGAGAGATATATAAAGTTCGCATTGACCAATGTTAGGCCTACATGAATATCATTAAATCGTATTAGTGTTTTATTGATCATTAGATGGGAAGAGGCCGTAACTCAAAGCGATGAAGGCTGCTCAAAGCGATTAAGGCCATAACTCAAAGTGATAAAGACCATAATTAACAGCGATAAAGGCCGACGATAAATGGTATAACTCAAAGCGATAAAGGCCTTAACTCAAAACGATAAAGACGGTAATTCACAGCGACAAAGGCCGAAGCTCGAAGCGAAAAATACCGTAATTCATAGGTCGTAACTCAAAGCCTCATCGTAAAGACAAACAATATGAAAGGGAACGCAATTGGTACAAGTCGAAATCTCTGAAGGCCTATATTTATCGGTATCGTCAAAACATCCTCTCAGGGCCATGATTACCCGAGCCGTTAGATACTCTTCAATCTAAACTCTTGTTTAATCCTTCCTCGTAAATGAAACGATCGATGAAATTGAACAATATTTGATTGAAATAGATGAATTATCGCATGGACGGATCACTTTTCGTAAACAGGGCATTTTTTATCATCAAATATTGGCACAGGGCGCAAATCAGATCGTTTTGATCATTGTAGAACAGTAAATTTGGCGTGCTCCTTAAGGAAACCATCTAAGATTTTCCAATATCCCGGGTTAAAACAAGAACGGGTTTAAATGTATCCGTTTTAAAATGAGTCAATAGAAATGCCAGTTTTTTTAACTCGTTTTTCCCGTTTTTATCGTATCTACTAACCTTGGTTAAATTAAACCCAGATTGAAATAAATCGTTAGCCCTCTCTTTTCCACGTGAAACCAAAGCACTTAGGGCTGTGAGAGAATTTTGTATTTGCAATTATTGGTATTTTCTTGTAAAACGCTGCTTTTGTATAAATAGTCAAGTATCCGGGTTTGGCGTTCCACTAACCCACAGGTGGGTTAAAAGCTACCCGGGTTAAAAGTGATACACTTGGAGACCCGTTTTTGATCTTATCCGTTTTTAGTTGGAACGTAACGCTAAAACGGACTATATCCAAACTGTTTTTTAGCCAGGCTAGAGGAAAGGTTGCCTTGTTAAAGAACAGTGTTTTATTGTCAAGGGTGAGAACACAATGCTTTTTCACATGTATATCGCTGGGGTCTGAGGAATTGTAAGGAAAGGAAATTGTCTACAATGAAACTCCATTCGTATTTTCGTGCCAGATCGTTTGCATTTACCTACAAAATGTTTATTTCGTATTGTTTTGACTTGATAGTTACCGTCTGTACTGAGTTCGACGCCTTCACAATTTATAGAATTGTCTTTGGCCAGTTATTCGCCACTCCTTGTTGTGTATGGCGTCAAAATCTTGGGAGAGAGGAACATCAAGTTGTTGTTTCTTCTAAGAATCGATGTTTGACGCATGGTTCTATTAGCACAGAGAGTTTCCGATTTATAAAGAGGCAATTAGCGCTTGCAGAAAAAACTGATATGTGCCTGTTTTCGTAAAATGTTATTTTCACTGCATACGAATTGATTTTTGAATCCACCCATTTTTTCCTTCAAGAAGCTACGTGTAGTTGAATCGCCTTTGATGTGGCAATAATTCAAGAAAAAATAAGATTTAATGGACTAAAATCTCTCGTTCTGTTATGTTTATATCTTATTTTAACTGTTATTATAATATATATATATATATATATGTTATTATAATATAACTCGTATTTGAGGCTGTTGACGTAAAATGTGCGAACGTTCTCATTTCATAGTCCATTCATAACCTGATTACGATCAGTCTTTTCAGTTTTAGTTGGGTGCATTGAAATATTTTTTGGTTTTCATTAATCATAATCATTGCGATTGGTTTCAGTCTCCTTGCTCTACAGTTTTTTAATAGAATTTTAGGAAAAAATGGTATCTTCGCTTTGCTATGATTTTATGCTGTACCAGCCTTACCGAATGTAAGCTATTAGCCAGTTGTGGGGTTTACACTTGTATTGTTGAAAAAGTTTGAAAAATATATGCTTCAATTAATGTATGTATATACCTCTACATTTCGGTGTGTAAAACTAGCTGCAACGACTCTGTTCTAGGAACAGTATCTAGCCAATTCAGTATCTTTCTACAGTAGTTAATCCAATAATGCTGAGGATGAAATTTATGAAGTGAGCTTTTAGTTTTGCAAGCTGATCTTAGTTGAAAGTCGAGTCTTTAACGCGAACAATCGTCTCTTGTACGCCAAGCAAAGATATTTGGTAACTTACAGTTCTGGTAAAGGTATCTTACATTACCATGTTGTCATATGCAATTTTTCTGTTTGATAGTCTTACTGTGGCTGACCAAAGGATTCTATTTTATAGAACGCAACTCGGTTTGGAAATTTAGTGTTTTGTAGAAAACAACTGGGCTTGGTTATGTTGTATCTGAAGCTTGCTCTGTAAATATTCTTATAAGCTCATCTTCCACGTTTAAGAATGAAATACACTATTTCTGTATTGAATTTTTGAATGAAGAGTTGGATTTTGTCAATGTGCAATTTTCAATGAAAGCTACTCTACCTCGCTAAAGAAGTTTAATGTCAAAAGTATCTAAAGATATACCACATGCACTTTATATAGTTTCTTATTTGTCAATATAAAAAATCTATATTGCAAGTGTCCTAGTTTCTAATTTGGTGACATTTATAGTTGACAATGATATTGACAAGTAGTTTAAAAGTATATGTATACCTATTTTCTAGGCATGGAACGCTTTATCAAAATAATAAATTACCAGCTTTGTTTTGCAAAATATGCTCTGAATTGCTAGACTCTTTCTGTTTCCAAATTAAAACTATATAAAGTTCTTGACTATCAGAATTATCCGCGGAACTAGGAATGTAATTAAACTCTGGTTATATATGAAGTTTTGAAATAGTGGCTTCAGGTCAACTACTACAGTGACAACCAGAAGAAATTAAAGTTATTAGAAGGTGTAGGCCTACCAGGATATTCACTGCTGGTTTCTTGCCACGCTGTTCTTAAGTTCTTTACGGGTCTTCCTTTGTTCTTCTTCCTTGAAAGATCTGTCTGAAAGCTCGTTATTAGATGACTGATGAGATTTTTCACTGCTAGTTGCACTTATAGGCAAAGGGCGATTTGAGAACAAACGCTAAATGGGTTATTACTTAACAGGAAAAAGTATGGCGACCTTCGTGTACTTACGACTATCAAATCCTATTTGTGTCGTGTCAACTTTGCAGGGATTACATGAAAAAGATGTACGATCTAAATCGGATCCAACTTAAAGCCTGTTTACTTTACAGGCAGACGTGTACTGGATTGATTATTTTCTATGGCTTAAACTGCAATATATTGTCCGCTTGGCATTTTGGATGATAGAACGCACAGTTTCGGGAATACTGTTCAGTTGAAGTAAATGATTAATGGCAAAAGACCGAAAAAATCATCTATTTCACGTAGATAAGCCAAAAGGCAAAGTTGAAAGTCTTGTCAGCAGGTTCAAGGATCAAATGTCATAAGTCAGTTTTATGCGTGATTATGTAACAACTAACATTGTTCAGTGGAAACATAGTATATCGTACAATACTAGAACATTTATTAGGATAAAGTGCGTCATATCAAACATTGATTCGATTGAGCTGAGTCCCGTAAATTAATTCTCTTCTAGTGTAGACGCAAGAATATTGGTTTAGCTGCGATAAGACGATTTTCTTGTTGGTTTCGTTTGGATATCTGAAGTGAATGAAATTGAGATTTTGGAAGATGTTGAGAATATTTGATTCTCTTGACAGGAAGAAGCAGATGTCAACAAAATGCCTTTTAGTACACTGTTTGCAAAACTAACAGGTGGTCGCCTAAAGTATCCAGCTTGTGTCTTGAAATGTGACATGCAGTGACGTAAGCAGACAAAGCTGCTGAATATTGCTTGCTAAGAAATATATGCGAAATACTTAGTGATTGGAATTAGTTCAAATCAAGCCGTTACCGTGCCTGCAGTGTCAAGTATCCTTT